CTAAGGGAGGTGGTAGTATGCCCTATATATGTATATTTATGACAGTTCTTTACTGGGCAGTGAAATTACCGAAGCTAAGGATTGTTTTATGTATGTATCTAGAGTTACAGGAATGTTTTAGTTTCCAAATAGGGTCAGTACATTCATGGCTAAATGTATAGCCGAAAGCGCTCGGACATACAAAAGTATTTGGACAATTTCTTTATAATTTACCTCCAGAGAAGAAGAAAATTATATGGACACATAAAAAAAACTTAACCACAATAACTTGTCAGTCGTTTTTAATGTAACTTGTATAAAAAAAGGGATTGCTGCCCAAATGCACAATTATATATATATATATATATATTTGGTTGGATAGATGTGAGTTTGTGACCCTGGGTTTCACGCTTTAGCGATCGTCAGACAAAAAACCAGGGTCACAAACTCACATCTATCCAACCAGATATGTTAGCTCTATCTCTGATATTGAGCGCTTTCTAATAAGTACCGCGCATATAATATATAAATAATTATATATATTCCCTGACGATCCGTTTAGGTGAAACCTAGGTAGGTTTGTCTGGCTCACTAGGTGTATCTAGGTCTGCTCTACGGTTGTATTGAGCTCTTTTGTTAGTTAATTGTTACTCGTATCGGGGTTTTTCTTTGGGCTTCAGACCTGCATCTGTGCGATTTTTTGTCGGCAGAAGTTTATGTTTGTAGCTCTTTCTTTTTTTAAAACCTTTTTTTCCCTCGAAATTGATTTGATTAACAAATCAAAAATTCGAGGGTTTTTCGAAACGAGTCTAGTTATTTATATTTATATATATATATATATATATATATATATATATATATATATATATATATATTATATTTTATATATACACACTTTTCATATATATATATATATATATATATATATATATATATATATATATATACATATATTATATATATACAAACACTCATACATATATATATATATATATATACATATATATATATATATATATATATATATATATATATATATATATATATATATATATAACATATATATATATATATATATATATATATATATATATATATATATATATATATATATACGTATGTATATGTCGATCCTCTTTTTGTATGGCTTTTTGACATGTATCTGAAATCTTTATTCACAAACTATTTTAATTAGAAAATTTTGTATATTACTGCTGGCGTCCTGATATAATTTTCGATTCTGAACTGGATATTTACAATGTTGCCAAATCTGTTTTTTTTTTTAAATTCACTTTCTTTTCTTATTAATTTATCTTCTACCAAAATCTCGTTTTTCTTTTTCTTTTTCTCTTTTTGTTTTCGTACTTTTTGTTTTTCTTCTTTTCCTTTATTTTCTTTCTTTCGTTTTTATTTTCTTTCTTCTTTTTCTTTTTTGCTCTTACTTTCTTTTTTTTTTTTTTCCTAACTTTTCGGATATTTGTTTTTATTTTTATTTATCTTTTTTCATTTCCTCTTTTTCTTCTTTTCTCTCCTTTCATCTACATTTTTCTTTGTTTATTTTTTTCTTTTCTTCTCTATCAAAGTTCATCTTTCTTCATTGTCCAATTTACCAATTTCTTTTCTTATTAAAAAAAAAATGAATTATTCATGAATTCAATCAAATTCCATTTTTCTTTCTCTGCTCAGTAACCAGTGATCAGTTGAATCCACCTGTCATTAATTAAGGACAATTATGTATTTTTGAAAAAGATTTCATTCAAGAGGAAAGAATTATTACTTGAATATAATTAAAAGCAGATGCAGTTATATTCAGCTCTACATATAAACACAGGCAGCGGCGTTATTAGCCTACAGTTTAGTAAAAAACAAAAACAAAATTTAAATGCACCCACTAACTGTAGAAAAAAATCATCATCACCATTAACATGCCGCCAAATCTTATCAAAATTAATACTAACAACAACAACAACAGCAACTCCAACAAAAGAGCATTTGCCATCATCATCATCATCATCATCATCATCTTCATTATCGTCATTATCATTGTAATAAAAGCAAGTATAACATTAATGCAAGACAAAGTTTTTCTTCTATAAGCGATATCCCTTCAGGGCGTGGGTGATCATGGCTCTCCACAATCTCCTATTATCAACGTTTTTTTTTTCTTTTGCATCGTACCCTATCTCACCATCCATTTACACAAGCTTGTCTGCTTTCCTCTGTCCGTTTTGCCTCTGATATGCCCTGTGAGTTTCAAATTCTCCAAACCCTCTTTTCTCATTATGTGACCACGAAATTTCAGCTGTCGCTTCCGGATTCTAAATTTAAGGGCATTTGTTTCCCTTTCCCTTAAGACATCTTCGTTGCTTACGCGCTCCGTCAGTTCTCAGCATCCTTCTGTAGAACCACATTTCTGTTGCCCGCAGTTTTGTCTTCATCTGTAAAGAAAGACTAAATTATACTTCGTAAATAATTTACGCATGTGGACAGGTAGAAATCAGCGTTCAATCCCAGATAAAAGTCAAAATTTGAAATGATGATTTTTTAGGTGGGCAGAAATTTTTTCCCTTCGAAAATCTATCACAGAACAATTTTCCTACCTTCGTTTTAATTTATTTGACTTTGTTCTACGCCAAGTTAAACTTAGAAAATAACAAATACTATATCAATAAAGCCTATGGATTGAAAAACAAAGAACAAAGCAAAAAATGTAAGAAAACGCAAAGGAGGTATATTTTGACAGTCTATAGAACGCGCGCTTTATAAGGAAACTATTTTGGTTGTTATTTAATGTCAACTCGTCCCGACGCGCCGTATCTATAGACAAAGGTTTCTAAGTTTGCCCTACTATTTATAATTCCGATGAATATGAATAATATTTATCTTTTAGCATGCTATTTGTTGGCAAGTACAATTATTCCAGACCCCAGGGAATTTGTATATACGGCCCGTCGCTAATGATACTAGAAAAAAACGGTCGCTTCCCTGCACAGCACCAGAAATTACCCAACTGTCATGCTATGTCTTTCAGATTCAACCAAAAATGGAACATTACTGCCATATCTACTCTGAAGCTGCACAATCCCCCTTTCCAACTTGACAATTGCGTTTATTCGGCAACCCCTTTCCCACAGACGTAATATCGCAAAACAATCTATCGCTATTTCTATCGCAAATGTTCAGACGAGCTACAGTCCTACTTCCACTCGTTCAGACCTTCACAGCTAGGATCCTCCATACCATATACACAGGATTTGAATCATCCTCATCCCTTTCGTATTTCATTAGTAAGAATAGAGTTTCACTGAAACAGCTTATTCCCGAGAAATACTACTTTGTGGAACAGACTCCCGAGATGATGCTCTCCCGATCACTATAATATTACTCTTTTCATTATTTCATTTTCTTTATTTCATTGCTTTACAGTCCCCCCCCCACAATATCCTGAGATCTTGATGTATTTCTTTCTTTAGGAGATTTCGACTTTACTCGTCCTATGTTTTTTCCCCCCGTTGCTATGTCTTCTTCTCCCATTATTATGGCTTCGTCGGACGTTTCGGAATTCTCTTGAGCCTGTTAATCATGTGTGGCGGCCATGTTTTCATTTTGTGTCATTCTGTAGGGGCCATATTTCTTTGTCGACCTCCAAGATATTAACCGGATTCTTCTTCTCATATTCTTCTCTGGGTCTGTTGCCATATTTTGCTTCTCTGGGTCTGTTGCCATATTTTGCTTCTCTGGGTCTGTAGCCATATTTTGCTTCTCTGGGTTTGTTGCCATATTTTGCTTCTCTGGGTTTGTTGCCATATTTTGCTTCTCTGGGTCTGTAGCCATATTTTGCTTCTCTGGGTTTGTTGCCATATTTTGCTTCTCTGGGTCTGTTGCCATATTTTGTTTCTCTGGGTCTGTTGCCATATTTTGCTTCTCTGGGTTTGTTGCCATATTTTGCTTCTCTGGGTCTGTAGCCATATTTTGCTTCTCTGGGTCTGTAGCCATATTTTGCTTCTTTGGGTTTGTTGCCATATTTTGCTTCTCTGGGTCTGTTGCCATATTTTCTTCTCTGGGTCTGTAGCCATATTTTGCTTCTCTGGGTTTGTTGCCATATTTTGCTTCTCTGGGTCTGTAGCCATATTTTACTTCTCTGGGTTTGTTGCCATATTTTGCTTCTCTGGGTTTGTTGCCATATTTTGCTTCTCTAGGTCTGTCGCCACATTTTGCTTATAGTAGTCGTGTCGTTGCCTCTTTACATTAAAAAATGTAGTTTTTCCGGGTCTGATTCCTTATTCATTTTATATCATGTTCAAATTACGCACATAAGCAGAATGGTATCCACATAGACTATTTTTATTGTCATTAGAATTAATCGAAGGGAAGCGATGTCGAACACAAAGGAAAATCTGAAAGGATTTTTTTTATAAAAGGAGATAGAGAAACAGTGAAGAAGGACAGAAATTGGAAATAACAAATTGGAGATACAAAAATTAAACAAAATTAAACAATTGCCAAAATGTAAATAACGAGGAAATGTTTTAACAGAAAAGGGAAAATGTGACACCGAAAGCCGAGGGTACATTAAAATATCAAAATATGCTTTGCAAAAGTTAGGCAAAGTATTAAGAGACAGGAAAATTTCATTGGAAACGAAGAAAAGAATACTGAACTGTTATGTAATATCAGTCGTGTTATATGGCAATGAATGCGAGACAATCTCCTCACAGATATGGAAAGACTTGATCATAAATGTGGTTCTACAGAAGAATGCTGAGAATACCGTCGACTGAACCCGTGAACAACCACGAAAATGAAACAGAAAGGACTTCTGTTGCCCCAGAAAGGCAGTAAAAATTTCCAGCGAAGATAATATGGACATGGAAAATTTGACATTCACAGGACATATTGATGTCAACAGGGACAGGGGAAAGCTGCGTATAAGCTACCTAACGAGTTGATATAAATGGTTGGCAGAACAGGGATTTTTCATTTCGAGCCTTTATTCATTGCACCACCCGCACATTTAAGCTTATGGCACCGGGTATTCTCGAGCGGCCACTCATCTAGATACTGACCAAGTTCAAACATTGCTTAACTGTGTTGATCGAACGAGAACCGGTGATTCAATGTGATATGGCCGTAAACCTTGCCATAAAGAGTCTTTCAACGTGTTCGTTGCAATCCTTCTGTTTGATGTCAACATTGTCTTACGATCTGTGTATATTTCTGAGATGAGGTATTGTAACAATTCACACTATTTAAATTGTTCGGACTGTTGTCCTCATATACACGACGTTTCTGCCGTTGTATTCTCCGGCCTTCTTCAACTCATATACGTTGGAATTTCGAACCGCACTCTTTATTTAGTTCACGGTGGTAGATATCTCTAGTTCCACATGCCATGCCTTTTCTGGATATCTCAGTTTTAGTTAATTCCCTTTAATAACTCATCTGTCGAAATTTTTGTTCCCTCTACTGTGACCAGGTATTGAACTCAGAACTTCAACCAGCTCTTTTATCCACTAGGCCATGTTTCCGTGGGGCTCGAAATTCCAACATATAACACTTGAAGAAGGCTGGAGCGTAAACCGACCGAAACATCGTTTATATGACAATAAAGGTTAGGACAACAGTCCGAACAATGTAAATAGTTTAAATTGTTTGTGAGATAGCGATTATTCTCTTCCCTTGTAAATTACTAATAGTAAATTACTAATAGTAAAATAGTAATAGTAAAATACTAATAGTACTCGATTATGTTTTTATGTCGTCACTATTGTGACCAACGAATTCTTACTATGTGGATTAAAAACCGCCATAAAACTCTACGTAAAATTCACTATTAGAAGAATCCATATTACAATAATTTGAGGCTAAATAATGGGAGACAACTGTGTAATTAGCCAAACTAATCTACATTTAAAATTTCGAGTTAGTTTTACTTGTACTTTAAAAAAAAACAAATGTCATATCCCTCCGAGACATAGGCGATCATGACACTTCACAGATTCCTTTATTTTTATTATTTGTGAATTGCCATGCAGTCTTGGGAAATATAGTAGTGTTTTTTTTTTTTTTCTGATACCTTCTCCACGGTTTAAATTCAGAGTTATCCTTCTCTTAGACTAGTTGCCGTCCAAGGTTAGATAGCCCATTCTACAGCACTCTGTTAGTAGATATATTCTCTCTATCATCCTGTTCACACTCTTCCCCGGTCTTTTGAATAGAAGTATAGGTTTATCCCTTGTTTCCTGTTTAGGGTTGGGTTTCCGGTTTCTCCTAAAGTCTACTTCCACTCCATACTTCTAAAGTCTCCAATCGAACTCTGAAGTGTTATTCACTATTTAAATGTTGACTTCTTCAAGTCTAAAGTTAGCAGTTATCGTTCCTGCATAGGCCCAAGAATTTCACTTCTTGCCTTTTCTTAAGCTAATACGACACCACACACTAACCATGGTATGGTGGCCGTTAAAGGGGCAAAACTGACAGTTAATATGCAATGTATTGCGCCTTGTATTGAGTGATCATTAGTAAAACAAAAAAAATCTCTATCTAGATGAGAAGTGACGAATTTTCTGCCTTTCCCGATGATAATTGTATCCTTGGGAAAGTTATGTATCGGTCTTAAAGTAATTGGAGAATATAGCAGATTGGTTTCCCGTTGCTTTCTCCCCATTGTCCTTCGCCTAAACAGGCTGTCAATCGTGGCTAGAAATCCCAGTTTATCCATAGATTATTGGGGAGGTAGGGAAGAGATAGATTCATGCCTTTCCCAAGGGTATTTCTGATAAAGTGAGTGCAATAGACTATCCCGAAATCTGAACTCGACTCTGTGATTCCTTTTTATGCGCTAATAACTAATATTACGTAACTCACTTGTACACTTAGTAGCTGCTAATCAGTAAGAGTCTAGGACTAAAAGATTTTATAGCTTAGACAATGAGGCTTCTATTTTAATGTCAATAATTGAAAAAAGAAAGAAAATCAAATGAAAAGATTAATATAATCTTTGTTTAAAACAATGAGACATTTATTATCTAACAAAATGTTAGTTTAAATTATTGTACAGGTTGCGGCAGAAATACCTGCCACATTTTAAACTGTCACCAATGTGGGGGTTAGTGAACTTAGGCAAGTCGTAATGGTAATTGTGCATTCTTATAATTGATAGTTAGCCCTTTCTTCACACTTTCTTTTACTCTCTTGTCTAGATACAGTATCTCTGTGCTAAAGCCATGTTTATTGGGCCTTTAAAACACAATAGACGATGATCTGCTGGTCCGGGTTAGCTTCGTCCCACACAAAGTTATATAGAATGCGGCAGAAATAACTCCTACATTTGTTTGGTGCTAGTGATCTTAGACAAGTGCCAATGGTGTCTTCATCTAGTTAATGTCTTAACTTTTCTTTTAGTTAGCATCATGGCTTGAACCGGTACATAGCGTGAACGTCGGCTGTTGAAACATTTTTTTAAAGTGGTGAATCTATAATTGCAACACAGAGAGCTTTTCGTGCTTATTTCGTCGGACTGATGCTGTTACGGATAGAAAATCGATACTATTATGGGTCACAGGTTCAGCGTTTCAAAGAAAGCCCCCTGGAAAACTTCGAAACACTTGAACTCCTAGTGATAGAAAACTTTAGAAATCAATTACAACGGTGTATGGCGAACAGAGGCTATCATTTGAAGGATGTCATTTTTTAAAACGAAATGAATAAAAACTATATTCGTTTGTTTAAACAACAGCAAAATAATCTTTTTAATAGCAGTTAATTTGTTTTCTTTTTCGTCAAATTTTATAATCTGGGAGCTATTTCTTCTGCAACTTGTATTTATCGACATTTGCTGGTTCATTCAATGTTGAAATCAGTTTTTTTCCTTTATGTATTCATTACTCTTAATCTAAAACCACATATATAAGACTTACAAGATAAATATCACAATGACTCAGTAGTAAATTTGCCCGCAGAAAGTTGCCGTTTTTTCTACAGTAGACCGGCTGCCAATCAATAGAACCAAGTTTTTCCTGCTATTTAACCCATAGCTGAAGGGACAGAAGAGATGGATTTAAAGATATTTGCCTGTAAGTAAATGAAACGAGCCTTACTGGAATTTGAACACGACTCTCTGATTTCACATTTTGAGCCGTTACCTATTACACCACCCACACATACATCCGGTCCTAATGGTTCTCAAACAACAAATTTCTAGTCAGATTCTCATATTTTTGCGCTTAGACCCACTATGTGTTTGAAGGATAGTAGGTCATCTACATCAACATTTCAGACAGGTTCCCTCATGCTGCTCAGCGTCTCTGCGACAGAAATTATTTCTATCTAAAAAAAAATTCTTAAAATATTTTTGAACAAAATGAAGTCACCATTATTTGATTGGCATGATTATTTTATTTAGTAATTTTGCCAATTTTCTTTTTCATTCTTGGTTTAATTTTCCTTTAAGCTTTTGTAACAAACACACATACAGCAATTGGATCATTAATATCAGAGTAAGCACGAATATGGAACGCAATAACAATTAATATTGTTACAATTATTATTCGAGCATTTTAACATTATTGCCCTGACAGAATTCTCGCTAAGTTGTACAGATCCTACTTTGTTACGATAACGAAGACATTTACAAGCAGAAACCAGATTATTATAATAATAGACATCCGTTTATCTGACGAGATGAAAGTAGCGCCCTCTCTCGTCAAATATTCAATCCTTTGGTGGTGAGACTGGGGTGACCTCTCCAAATCGCAGACAATGGTATATAGGAGACGTACTCTACCCAAACTACATGACCTTCTTCTCAGCCGTATCGATAAGATCCAAAGAAGCACAAGGCATTAAATTTGTGGAAGGCTTGGTTGCAGGAGTTGCCGAAAATTTGCAAACAAAAACATTAGTAAGCAAGAAAAACGACGAAATAGTCGTACATAAATAAACAAACAAAATATCGAAAATCTTGTTAATATTGAAAAAAGATAGCAGAAAGAAAAAAATTAAATATAAATCAGGATTTAAGCCTAAAATATTCGGAGATATGAAGTCCTTATAAAATAATCTATTCTACATTTTTGACAATACAAACATCTAAAGTATCAATTCACAGAAATTGACGAGAGTCGAAAAGACAAAGTTAACAAATATAACTTTAGGTAAAAACCAAAACAGAAGATAAAAATAAGACAAATGATCTTCAGGTTTGTTGTACAAATCAAATAAATACTAATACAGAAAAACTATGAAAAACATTGAAAGAGATAATAATAAACAATACATGTATAACTTCAAATAAATATAATAATCATAATATCTATCAGGTCATCCCATAAGTTCTGTCCGAATTTTGAATAAAGAAAACAAGTGACCAAATGTTACATTTAATTACAGATTCAATCAACAATGTATTTTCCTTGATTATCTATGACTTCCTTCCATCTATTAACAAGCTTACTAATTCCATTACTGTAAAATTCTTTTGGCTTTGATTCGAAGAATTCACAAATGTCAGTTTTAACCTCTTCCTGTGTTACAAAAGCTGTTTCTTCCAAACGATTCTGTAAGCTACGAAACAAATGGTAGTCTGAAGGAGCAAGATCAGGAGAATAAGGTGGATAAGGAATTTTCACCCAACCAAGTTCTTCGACCTTTTGTGACGTGATTCTTGCTGTGTTGGGTCACGCATTGTCCTGATGAAGCATCACCATTTTTCGATTCACTAGAGCAATTCTTTTTTTTCATCAAAGCTTGGTTCAAACGCTCTAATTGCTGACAGTATATTTGAGCATTAATTGTTGCATTAGGTGGTATGAATTCAAAATGGATTATTCCTTGGCGATACCACCAGATTGAAAAAAGAACCTTTTGCCCATGACGTTCCCTTCTCGGCTGTGGCTGGGGTCCTACCCCTTTACCAAGCCACTGTCTACGACGCTTAATATTTCGATAAAAGATCCATTTTTCGTCGCCAGTCACAAGTCTATCCAAAAAAGGTGAAACAAGTTGGTGAGAATAGAGAGAAGAGCAGATGTCAACTCGGGATTTGAGGTTGTTTTCAGACAATTCATGAGGCATACATTTTTCAAGTTTAGGAACTTTTCCGAGTTGTTGAAGATGACGATGAACAGTTGTATGGTTTGAACTGAGAACCACTGCCAATTCCTCAAATGATAAAGCAGGATTTTCTTCAAGGACTGCTTCAAGAAGCTTTTCATCAAACTCAACTGGACGTCCGGTTCGATCTTTATCTTCAAGTGTGAAATCTCCACCTCTGAATTTTGCAAACCATCTTCTGCAAGTTCTTTCATTCACACATTCCTCTCCATAAACTGAGTGAATGTTTCTAGCCGCTTCAGCTGCTGAGTTTCCTTTCTTGAACTCAAAGCATTATGTGCCTCAAATGATTCTTGGGTACTTCCATGTTAGCAGGGTTTCAATCAAACAAAATTTAATTTTATTGTTCTCTGAAATAAAATTTGATCAGTTTAAATGCATCTAAACATAAAAATAATGTTCAGCTCCATTAGACATTATAAAATACTCTTTAAATTTCGTTCATTTTAAAAAAAAGGTAAAATTCGGACAGAACTTATGGGATGACCTGATATCTATCTATCTATCTATCTATCTCTCTCTCTCTCTCTCTCTATATATATATATATATATATATATATATATATATATATATATATATATTGTTCCATTTAATCTTTATTTTTAAAAAAAAATCTATGATGTAAATTTTTGTAACTTTGTATAATATTTATACATTACACCCTAATCTTTATTCGGTAAAAATTTCATTGCTAATCATGCATTACTTTTTAAGTAATACACATTTTGATGTCTTTGTTGTTTCCGTTCCTTATATTATGGCCGCTACTCTATATATATAATAAATGAAATCAAAGAAATAATAATTGCGAATTATATTAAATTATTATATCACTTTTAAACATTATTTCTCCTTTTTGTTTTTTTCCTGTATTCGGAACACCATATGATTATTATAATTTGGATCTAATAATTTAATGAATACTGAGCCGGTTTTTAAAAAGTAAGAAGATGTCAATAAGAAATATAATTGTTATTTTACTTGAATAATTTCAGTTTCCAGATCTGTAATTTATGGTGGACAGGGTATTTCTTTGATAACTATTATGGTCTTAATATTGTTTTTTTTTTATATTTGTTGGAGAATCCGATCAAAATTCATAACCACGAAGATTAGGGCATAAACGGTATCTTCAAGTTTACTTACAGTTCCAATGTTTGTAAAATTCGAGCTTCACATAAATTAATAATTTTTGAAGGGTTCAAAATAAAGCCTACCATTAATTTCGGACGAAAACTATTTTTAGATTTCAAACTAAATTCGCTGCTATGATTGCAGAGGTGAAGTAACATTGATAAATATATAAACAAAATGCCATAGAAACGGCAATAAAAACATTTTCATTTTGCATAAATCTGTCTATTAATATTTGAATTCAAGAAAGAAAAAAACGAGATAGTTAAAATAGATTTAAAGATATTTTGATACCAGGTAATGCTGTGTGATCTTGCTAGTTATAGAACGAGTAAGTTGGTAAGTGATGCAATTTTATTAATATAAGAAGCAGTATTGGTGAACTCTTACTTACCAGTTGGATGGGTAGGGGGGATCAGTTTGGTAAAATTCCGTTTTCGAAGACTTACTTCTGATCAGTGTGCGATAAGATGGTAAGTTTCAGATACCTTATGTCTGCATGGGACGAAAATAGGCAAATCAAAGTGACAAGCCAGACTAGAATATTAGGTGAGCTTTTATCTGGAACAACCACATATATATTTACCTATGTTTGCATTCAGATAGATAGATAGATAGATAGATAGATAGATGATAGATAGATAGATAGATAGATAGATAGATAGATAGATAGAAGTAGACTGAGAGAGATTGACTAATTGTCCTACTAAATGAAATTAATGGAATAGTGACTAAAGGACGAAGCAATATTGACGGAAACTGCGTGTTAACGTCACGGATTTCTTTAATATACACATACAATATATATATATATATATATATATATATATATATATATATATATATATATATATATATATATATGTTCAGAGAAATCAAAAGCAGATTGATGAATCTGTTTATCTACCATCAAATTAGCCAGCATCTCGATGTTTTCATTCAGGAATAAAGAACTTAATTTTCTGTTAATGTTCTGTCTTTCTTTAGAGAATAATTAAGTCTTAAATTCAAAGAATTTTTTGTTTGGCACTATATATATATATATATATATATATATATATATATATATATACACACATATATATATATATATATATGTGTGTGTGTATTAATATTTATATACATATTAATAATATATATATGCATATATGTATATATATATATATATATATATATATATATATATATATATATATGTGTGCTACACACACACACACATATATATATATATATATACTTTGTGCCCGATGAGCTGGAAAACCAGCTAAACTTAACTCACACACCAAAGCGTAGGTATATATATATGTGTGTGTGTGTGTGTGTGTGTGTGTGTGTGTGTGTGTGTGTGTGTGTGTGTGTCTATTTATTAATCTATATCTTTGCTTTGTCTAACCTCATCGAGCACTGTTATGTTTACACCTCATCAATAAATTTGATGATTAATTATTTGCTTGTCTATATATATATATATATATATATATATATATATATATATATCAATAATAAATTTATAAGTTTGATATATATATATATATATATATATATATATAGAGAGAGAGAGAGAGAGAGATACAGAGAGAAAGAGAATGGCCTACAAATCCTCATTGCATATTAACTGCCAGTTTTGCCTTTAACGGCCATCATACCATGTGTTTGTATCTACATATGCTCAGTCTAAAAAGCGGATATAGATATATGCATATCATTCATTTATTCAGCGCATTTTGCGCCGCTCTCGTCACCCCCTCCCCCTGATTCTAACAATTGTGATTCATGGTGACTTTCAAGGTAAATTAGTGCCAAGCCTTGCCGGTTCCGCAACGGGGATGTTGAAGTTATCCCGTTCCTTATCTCAGAAGTTAAATAGGCAAAACCCACAAGTCAACAGGTGATTTGAATTCAGAAATGATATATAGAGGACGTGCGCTGTCCAGACTATATGCACCCCCTCCCCCTTCAGCCATACCAACAAGATCCAAAGGTATACAGGGCATTACATTGGGAAATGGTTTGGATGCAGGATTTGGCGGAATGTTGTCAGTGTTACCACCCAACAGCCTTCGGGGCTGCACTTCGAGTTTTCTGTCTGTCTAGAAAGCGCATGTAAATATATAATAAAATCTAGATATATAGATATATAATGTAGATATATTTATATAAAGATAAATGAATAGCAATAGTTTATTTTAAAAACATATTTCTAAGAAACATGTACCGTTCCACGGAAAATGTTTTTAAAAAACAACCTGAAGAAAACACTTCTTGTAAAACTGATTCAAGACACAAAAAACACGAAAAAGCACGATTCTACAGAGTTGGATAATCATTTCACAATTGCGTACTGCGTCTTTGACTTCGAGCAGAGTGTGACTCAGTTAGGGCTCTGTACTCGGACAGAGACTCACCAGGGGAAAAAAAAAGCTGTGAGGTTCCAGGGAACAGCTGCCCGCGGCTGCACACCTCATTACACCAGAGAGGGTCAATCGGTAGTCAGACCGATGTAAGCGCAACTGACGGTTGCGGTGTCTGGACAATTTTTATCCCTGGCCCGAGTGTACGCGCTCGGGTTTCCTACAATAAACCCAACCTTGTTTCACAGCCCATCTCAGTGGGAAGACCGGGGTAAATAACGGTTCTGTGGCCCAGTTTCATCTCATATATTTTTATCTATTTTTATAAAAAAGAAAAAGAAAATTGAACAAAAGAAAAATATACATTTGTATATATTGTGAAATTTTTATATCATGGGGATTTTAACTGGATCCCTGTGAATATGCAGTATTGATGTATGTGTTGGATTGAATAGCAATGAATGAGTTCTTGTGGCGAATGAGTAAATTGTAATCCATTATGAATCAGATTAGCTAGCTGTAGTACTGTGATGACCATCCTTTCCAATTTCCCTTTTTGGCCTTGTGTCACTTAAGATATAATACTTCAAAATAAAACGATTCCGTGACCTAGATGACAGTCAGCTCACAGTTCCAGCCATTTAGATAGCCATCTCCAATTCCAGCCTGCTAGCCAACTCCAACAGGTGTCCGTCCAGCTCCAGCCAGCAACAATATGCGATAAACTGTCCTTTTCAGGACAAACATTCTGAACGGCTACAAAACTGTTCTTTTTAGGACAGCACTCTTCAGCAACTAGGAAACTGTCCTATATTTATGTACAGAATGGATAAACTCTTTTCATCTGCTATTATTTTGTTTTCTTTTCAAAGACAAACATGTATAAGTGAAACAATTATTGAAAGGGAAATTGTCTTCACCTTTCTCTAGCATTCAACACCTAATAGGATTGATGCAAGTTCAACTTTATTTCATATTTTTTCTGACTTTTAAAAAGAAAATAGGGAAAGAATGCTAAAAATGAAAGGAAGAAAAAGATGTTCCACACAATCATTTTATTCCTAAATGTCGTCTGATTGGAAGCAAATATTCACTTCTCTTCTCTGTGAAGTTCTCTTTCCTATTCATTGCCTTCTTTTCTCTTTCTTTCTTTATTCGTCTTCTCATTTTTATTTTCTTTCTTTCTTTCTTTTTGAGGTTACTCAATTTTTCATTTTCTTTCTTTTTTTTTTCTGCGGTAAATCACTTTGGTTCTTTTCATGACAACTCACTGTCATTTTCTTTCTTTCTTTCTTTCTTTCTTTCTTTCTTTCTTTCTTTCTTTCTTAAGCTGCAAAGTATTATTTTCTTTCTTTCTTTTTCTTTCAGCTTTCATTTTCTTCTTTCTCTCTCTCTTTCTTCTTTCTTTCCAAGACTACTCATTTTCATTCTCTTTCTTATTCTCTCTCAAACCCTTTTATTCTCTTTCCACTTTTTTGTAACTGTTTTTCTTTTTCTTTCCCGCCACTTTTCATTCACCCAAACTCATTTCTCTCTCAAGATTCTCCTCTTCCACTTTCACTCTTTTTTTCTCTTCATCCGACCACTTTAACTCACTCACTCATCGTTCTCTCTCTCTCTCTCTTTCTTTAGTACTTATTCATTTATACTTTCCAATGCACATCTACATCAATAATTTGCCCTTTTTTTCTCCCAATCTCTCTCGCAACTTACTCTCTTTTATAAAGTATTCTTTGTTTTGAATTGTGTCTTGCAGATTCGAAAACTCGTTAACCTAATTATTTTGCCCACTTTTTCACCATCTATATTTCCCTCTTTCCTTTTCCCCAATTTCTCTTCTTCACTCTTTGTCAATCACTACTCACTCTCTCTTTCTGATGGTCCCATTTCGCTTTCTCTCTCTTTTTTTTTCTATTCTTCACCATTCTCCTCACTTCCCACTTTCTCTTTCTGATTTATCATCTGTTAACGATGATTTGAACTGACGCTGTGTTGAGTCGGTATCAAATTCTTGTAGACTGCGGAGAGAAAGTTCAATTAGAGCTTTGGCACCTGATCAATATTACAAATGGAGAAGTGAAGTAATCGTTCGGCTGTTTGTTGGTCGGGTCGGTTGGGGGGCCGAGTAGAAAAGGAGACTAAAAAGTCGAAGAAAGTGAAAGAGAAAGTAACGTCAGAAAGAAACAGTTGAAGACTGGAAGATTTCACTGCAAAAAGTTGGGCTGATTCTTTGCTGCTTAATCGCAATCTTTTGGGCTTCAGTTTTGAGAATAATGATAAAAAAAATGAAACTTTTTGTATTTTTATCATAACACACAAACACACGCAGACATCTATGTATGTATGTAGATCCGAGATTTGTACAGAAATCGTATCTACGGTGCCTCGATATGGAATAATGGCGAACGACGTTCGTCTGGTTAACCATTATTACTGAGTAGGGAGTTCGATCCTCACTGCTTGTCTCATGCAAAATTCGACATTAATTAACCTAACATGGCTTCACATGTCAAAAATAACTCAACAAGAGTTGACATGCCGTCCAATCAACTACCTAACATAGCATTACTATTGAGGAGTGAATTCAATTTTTATTGGGTGTCTTATACTAAATCCAACACTAAGTAACGCAACAAAGGATGATATGTCGTAAAATCAACCAAACTATCCCAAGAAATAATGTGGTCATATAAGATTAACGAGAAAGTAGTTTAACGCGGATCATTTCAAATTATTCTCCTTAGGATGTTGCACACATCCCAGTATCCCTGATATTTTTCAAAACCCCCTTTTTAGGGATTGATACCAGCTGTTTTGCTGCCACGTTCTCCTTAATTTCCACCAGGATTGAAAGTCTACTTCCTTTCATCAACGATTTTAGCAGAGGCCATGTAATGGTGTACCAAAAAAAAAAAAAAAGAACGAAAACAAAAAATACCCGCGCTAGAAGTAAAGAATAGGCAGTCCAAATATTCAATATAGCTGGATACTTTTCCAACAGTCCTTGTAAGGCTCGGATTTTTGTTGGTAAATCTCGTACCATTAATCATTGGTTTTTCTTTGGGTGCAGCCGAAACGTGTTCTACATTTTCGAAGGCTTTCCAAAACATGGATTACTTTCAACGGATTCGCAGCCAAGTTTGAAGATTTATCTGGTATTTGCTCATTGTATCATCACCGGAAGCCTTCTTAATCATTCGAATTAATTCCACGGACAGATATCGAAGTTTCAAGTGAAAGTCACTATATATATATATATATATATATATATATATATATCAATTGATATTTTATAGGGATTAATCCAGAACAATATAATAATGAATACAGAATCCTTAAAAACCCATCTGATCCTAATTTATTCCGTAGACTTTTACATCCATCTCTTCAGACGAGTGTTTTTCCTTTTTTTCTCTTCTTTCTTTTTTTCCTTTTCCTTGCGTCTGGATAAATTGAACGCCATTTATTAACAAAACGATGGATGTAAAAGTTCACGAAATCAGTCACAGCCAAATGGATTTTAACCCCTCATATATATATATATATATATATATATATATATATATATATAGAGAGAGAGAGAGAGAGAGATAGATATATGGGCGTGTGTGTTTTTTGGGGTGCGAAGGTTATATAATAAATGCGTTAACTTAAAGTAACCGTAAGTTCTATGCTAACAGTTTCTTCTCTCGTACTTCTCACTTGTGGAACTCTCTTCTGGCTTCTTGCTTCCCGGTCAACTTTAACCTTCAAAAATTTAAATGCAATGTCAATCGTTATTTGCTGTCTTCTTAATTTCTTTCCTTTTATTGTTCTCATTAATAGGTTTTTTTCTCGTATTCTCTCAGAATCAATGTCCCATCCCCTTGCATCTTCCTGGCTTTAATGCTTTGCTTAGAGTGAAATGATTAAAAAAAGAAAATAAAGCAAACTTAAACCATATTGATCTGAATGCACACTTTATTCATTTCATTTCTTTTTTGAAAAAAGAGATGTGTCTTATTCAAAGAAGCGTCTTATACATAAAAAGGTACGCTATACTGTACAAAATGTTATAAACTGCTTAGTCGCCAAGACGAAAATGGGCAAAAATATTGTACTTTTCCATGTCAATGAAATCTATTGTTCTACTTGAAATTTAAATAATAAAGAAAAATTATTTATACTTTTATATGCATCTGAGTCCACCTATGTACAATAACATCTATCTATCTATCTATCTATCTATCTATCTATCTATCTATCTCAGCCTGTTCATTATCTATCTATATGCCTGTTCATTATCTATCTATCTATCTATCTATCTATCTATCTATCTATCTATCTATCTCAGCCTGTTCATTATCTATCTATATGCCTGTTCATTATCTATCTATCTATCTATCTATCTATCTATCTATCTATCTATCTATCTATCTCAGCCTGTTCATTATCTATCTATATATAACTATCTAATATAGTAAATGAACACCTAGTAGACGCTCCATTTATTTATAAAACAGTATTTATTTTCGTATATTGGCTTGAAAAATCGACGCTGACGTGGATGCGAAACTGAGGAGATATGAATGCTTCGAAACTCTTAAGGTACTCAAGGTAATGCGGTTACTTTCCTTATTGACTTACGGGACATGTAAGTTAATAATTGTGTATTTGGGCAGGAGTCCCTCAATTACACAATTATTAAATTGCATGACACAGATATCTGATAAGTACCTTGTCAGTCGTTTTTATTGAAACTTGTAAAAAGAGGGATCGGTGACCAAATACACACACATAATATATATATATATATATATATATATATATATATATATATATATATATATATATATATGACAGTCTGTATCATGACAGTCTGTAATATATTATATATATATATATATATATATATATATATATATATATATATATATATATATATGTTTTTGAACAATAAAAATATTGAAAAATTAAAATTTTCAGACACACTGGCTTGTACATTATTTACATTATTCGGACTATTGTCCTCATCTTTGTCTCCATATCTATTACAACGTTTCGGCCGTTGTACGCTCCGGCCTTCTTCAGGTGGTTGGAATGTCGAACTGAACCCTTTATTTCGCTCACTGGGGGAGACTGTTCTAGTTCCACATGCCATGTTTAATGGATGTCAGTTATCAGTTATTTACTGTTAATTTCCCTCTCCAAGTTCTCCACTGCCTTAACCGGGTATTGAACTTGCACTCTTTAGGTCCTGTCACTGGAAATGGCTAAAATTAAAACCATCCTGTACTTTAATCTATACTCCATTTTTGGTCTTATCTGGCCCTTGTAGAGAAAAAGCTTTCACTTTCATGAGCGTATACGACTTTTTAAAATGGCTTGACCAAAGGATTGAACTCACGACTGCCAGAAAATGAGAAAATGTTTTAACAAATACTTTCATCCACGAGGTCATTTATCTCCCGGACTGACCAATGTCCTTTATTGATCAGTGGTAGCCAATTGGTGTGGATTGAATGATTGGCTTTTGGTTTAAAATTCTAAAGAATTTACGAATACAAAAGACATTTAAAGAATGCCGGTGGATACAAAGCTCAAAACGTTTAAAATTCAAACCATCCTGTTCTCTAATGTGTTTAGTAAATCAGAATAACTTTGGGATAAGGTTGCATTTCTCGAGCACTCTGTGTGGATCGAATTCAATCCAACACTTTACCAATCGAATAAAACTTGATTGATTCCAATATTTAAATAATTTTTAAAATCTCCCGCCAAAAAGTTCATCATTCTTCTATATATAAAATTCTGTGACTTCAGTTAGTCCGTCCATCATACCCTGTAAAATAACCATATATTGACAGATTGAAACGAAATTTTGGGGAAAAATGCAAACAGATAAGAGAATATTAGGGTGCGTGGCTTAGCATAATAAATTTTCATGAATGTTTTGTAAAAATTAAGTTTTATTATTTAGCATACAAAATATTCTCATCATTTTAATAACACTTTAATGATTAAAATAACAAATACTTATTTAATAAAAATGCAATAATGTTTTCTACATATTTTATATTTTAGTTTTTATATTTCACCGACTGGTGTGAGAAATTAAAAGAAACGTAGAATTTGTAAATCTCGATAAACAATGTTTGTGGCTGCCGCAGGTAATTTTGTTTTTAGATAAACAGGTTTTCATTACCTATTCTACATTTCTGTAGTAACGGTCAGTCTAGTTCACTCCCTAAAATAGTGCCTAAAGAAATGGCGAGTTTTGGTCACTCCCTAATAAAAAATGACCCTAACGCTAAAACAAGGTCGTTTTCTCTTCGTTTTTCTTATAAACAAGATACTAGTTTCATAAATTGCTATGTTGAGAACAAAAGTTTTTATACAAGTTGGATATTAAAAACAACTTGGTGGGATAGAATGGAAGGGTGACCCTAAATTATTTGTTCTAATTTCAACAATACTAAATACTTTGAGAATTTCAATGCGCTAATGCGTGTTGCAAAAAAAAAATTCTAGTTTCAAAAATATTGCGAATCTGTTAATATGCTTCGGTTAAGCCAATATGGTTTTTAAAATGCGTTATCATGAAGTAGTAAGAAACGATTCCCTATCAATAGGTTGCGAGATAAGAAGACTGATACTTCCAACAGAAACGAAAACTTTGGTTTAAGAGAACAAATTCCTGGTATTTTTGCCGAGTTTCAATGTCGCCTTCATGTTTGGTTTTTCCGTTTAAATCAGTCCGCCAATCTCGTCTACTGGAATCAAAAATGTTATGTGCTTGCTAATGGTTAAAACATAGAAATATATTTGCATCTGCAACGGTGAGAATGAAAGGTCGACCTGTTAAAGCACCAAACGTGTCAGTTCATCTATAATGTTTAATATCTCCGATTTTTTTCCTCTCATGTGGCGAGATTTTTTCCATTCTGATCTCTAGCCAACTGTTCCCAATTGGAA